CACGTAGTATATTGTTATGCGCATAACGAATACATCTTTTTTTTCGAAAGTCTTCTTGCGCCGTGCGTGTCGCACGCGTTCTCGACACGTACATTATACAGCGTGCGCGGCGGCGGCGGCGGCGTTCGGTCTTCGGATCGGTTTGACGGCCAGTCGCAGTTTCGTTAACGGTACATTTGTACAACCGACACAACAATCAGTAGGCGGTGTAGGATTTCGCGCGTTGACGGAATGAATTTCGAAAAGGTTCCCTTTGTAGTGTGTGCGTGTGACGTATTCGACCGTCCAGGGTCGTGGCGAGTGTCCGCGTATTTCGAAAGATCATTTTTCAAGACGCGTGTTAATTCGGCTTCGCGAATCGCGTTTTACCGGCCGGACGGCGGACACGTGCGCGGTGCACGTAAAACAACAATGACGACGAACGATCACGGCCGTCCGATCGAAATAGAAAACAATAGACCGGTTGTTGTGGCTTCAAGGTTACCGCGATCGCAAACGTAAACATACATAACATTACGGCTGCCACGCCATGTCCGTAAGTAACGGCAGCCCGGTGTTGAAGCATCATACGCGTAAAATGCCCCAACTGAAATCGGATATAGCACGCGAACACGCGCTCTCCGGTGCATTCGTAGGGCGTTTCTCGCACCCCCGGTCCTATCCCCGATCCTGCCGCTATCGCAAGCGTACCATTGCAACGCAGTACCGGAGTTCGCCGGCCCCGTCAGCCGCCTCCGCGGATCCTGTCGGATATTAGTGCACGTATACACGTATACGCGTGGAGATCAGGGTTATTATTTCTGGTCGTCTCGGGCGTTCGCACGTAACCGTACAATGCATTATGTAGCGTAGCGTACGGTTTTACAGCCATATGCGAGTGCGTCGAACGGTCCTGCAGGACTCGCACGTATGACGTGGCCCTCGCGTGCTTCGGATTGAAACGTAATATGTGTGTTTCGTCCGGAAACGGGGAAAAATGGGGAATGAAGCGTACAATGTACACGCACGTACAGTTATACATCGTTTCATCGGCGAGTTCCTGAACCGACATGCAACGTAAACAACAAATATAAATACAATGTAATATATATATATATATGCATGTTTGTGTGTGGTAGTGGAAAATCAAATTACTTTTACTTTAAACCCACAGCACATGGTTTTTTATACAACACGCATTAACGCGACGCCGAAAACCTTCGATGGAATAATAATAATAAACTTCAACGAATCGAGTAATCGGTAAACAGGCAATTTTTCAATGCACACAGCAAGTGATTCGTATCCGACGATTTACCGCAACGTTAATGATTATCCGTCACGTTTTCGTAGAAGCATAAAAGTTCACCTTTTCCCGTCCTCGAGAACAGTGAACGCCACGTATGATTGATACGATTGATTCGTGTTTGCGTTGAGAGTATCGTAATAGGAGAGTAGTAACTTCCTATAATATATTTCTAGTAGGCATCTGTTTTTATTTTTTACGGCATCGTGCAAATCTAACGTATTGTTAAAAATATATTCTACAGCAGCGGTTCTCACACTGTGGTACGCGTACCCCTTGGGGGTACTCGAGATTTTTTAAAGGCCACGAGTGTGGCCAACAAACCTTTAAATTTAAATTATTTACGAGGAAAAGGTTGTTCAAGTTTAAAAGTAAATATGGAAACAAGTTAAATGTTGACGATGATTTAAGGTTGTATTTAACTAAATTAAAGTGGTACATTGTTTATAAAAGTTTGAGTATCCCTGCTCTACAGGTAACTGTTTCATAAATATTTGTCTATTTATTCGTATAAGAATAATAATTTGTGATCATAAAACTTTTACGCTATTTTCAAAATCGATATTAATCGCAATTCAACTGTTTAAAAATAAGTTTTTATCCGCAGCGGATTAATGTTTTCCGAAATAATACATTCTTTTGACAGAAATCGTTTAAAATGTAATTTCATTTTCGTTTAATACTATTATCAACATTGAATTCCAGTGGGTTTGAAACTGACGTTTAAAATATTAACGGCTACCATGTTCACCTTTATTGCCTGAAATTATACACTCACATTTTTACATTAGTCGTCATCCGTGGAACATTTATAAATGTTTAAGGTATTATCATTGCATATTTGCGCAAAGCCCATTGAAATGCAGAATATTTATTTAGAAAAATTACGAAACCGATTTTTTTTTTTTTCGGTCGAACCATTAGAAAAATGATGTGAACCGCGTTATGATGAAGCACATATTTTAGTTTAATGAATAGCGTACGTAGCTATGTGTGACCTAAATGCATTTGAGCAGATGGTTTAAAGTTTCATAAGCGATCATCACCATCTATATTATTATGATAAAAAGGTGCTCTGAAATTTGAACAGCTGCGATTGAACACGTCGAGCACACCCCCATTCATTAGTTTTTTTCTATGCTCGGTATGAACATAATGTATAGTAATCGAGCTATGGAGGTTTTTCGGCACGTGTTATTCGAATCACGCGAGGAAATAATAATTCGTCGTTAGACATACGACGGTTTGAGTGTGAATAATCGTTTTTATCGTTTTACGCTGTAGAAGATAATATATATAGATACATGTAATTTCGTGTTTCGTAATAATAATAATTATTTCCTTGTGAGAGGTGATTAAAAATTGCGTGGGGAGAGATCGACAAATGATTATTCGAGCCTCCGCATTTGTCTAATAAGTTAACAGTTTTAAGATAAATTATTAATTAACAATATAATAAACCGTTGAAAATCGGTGTTATGCGTGTAAAACACAGATGTATAATTTATTCTGAATATTCATTTTTATACCACTTATATACATCGCACGTATACATTTCCCGTTAATTATAATAATAATATAACACTACGTTCTCCGCGAATGTTAATGATATTATTGATGATCGCTAAGTTGTTTGTTATAATGTTTTGTAACGTTAGTTTTCTATTATTAACAATACAACAGTACCTATAATAAAACGACTGGCTGAGGCACATTGAAATAAAAATAAAATAAAAAAAAAAAAAAAAACAAGAAAGAAAGAAAAAAATAACTGCGTTATACTCTGTTATACATCCGACTTTCCACTAAACAATCATAGTCGTGTGTGACCATACATGTATAGTGTTAAACGGGAAAAAATACGAACACACTCGCGTACGACATCGAACGATGCAAATCCTGCGGATTAATGTACATGGGACAGTGTCTGAGTTCAATATTTATGGTTCGTGAATCGAAAATAAATCTATAGGATTGTTTTGTGTCGCTTAGAAATCGCTTACACTTTTTCTCATACAGTAGGGTATGCGTTTCCTTCGTTCCGAGTGAAATTCGTGTCAGATATCGTAAGGCGCAAAGTGTACGGATATGGGAGTTTTGCGAAAAAGTAATTGTAAAGTAAAAAATAAACGTTGCATCTGTACACGTATACGCGTCGTAATGGAATTATTTCAATTACTACACGTTCACGAGCTACACGTTAAGTGGTTATTAAAAAATCCTAAAAAAAAAAAAAAAACGCCTCACCAAGCGTTTGCGATTCATTTCAATTTCGTATGTTGGCGTCGATATTACTACGAATTGACAGACGACTTTGTTTGATCAGTAAAAATAACGTACAGTATATTTACAACGAAAAGAATAAACAATAAAACAAAATATGAACTATACACATCGTACGTATTTAAACAAAACAACAATAACAATAATAAGACTAATGCAAATGTTTATAGTAACATACTAATATGTACACGTTACCGTCGTGTTCGTCACCGCGGATATAAGAAGAACATATAGGTAGCACACGATATACTATCAACAAGTATTATCAAAAATAGGTACTCCGGAGTAACCGCCTTTTGGAACCGCGTAATGATGTACCTCTAACCGAGATTTCTCTTTCGATTCTCAACTTGATTTAAAAAAAAAAAAAAATCTAATAACGAATATTAATCATTAATTTTATACTATATTCGCTTACGTTTTTCTTTTGGCATTCAAAATTATTCGTATGCTTTTCGTCAACTATGAAAACTACACTCGAACAAATAAACATGGTACGTTCGACGTCGGCAACGTAAACGGAAACCGCGTTGCGCGTGCTCGCATCGGCACACGCGATCTGCATTACGATCCGATCGTATAACGAGAAACGTCTAGTGTGAATCCTGACGCGGCGCACCGTCGTCGTCGTATTCGGTTTCGCGCGTTTTGCATTAGTATTCCCGTGGGACTAATAGAAAACCAGATCCGTGAAAGTCGAACGCCGCGCGTTTTCTTAAAAAAAAAAAAAAAAAAACAAAACGGTACGCGCGTATAATGCAGTATAATAATAGTCGAACTGACGTGTCGCGCCCTAATATGTCTATTGGAATCCGTATGGGCACGGGATCCATACGGCGTGTACACCCTTTGCGCGTTAACGGACCGTATAATATATATTGTTATTTGCTCTGTACCGGACATCGGTTTAACGTTATATGCGTACACATGGACGCGTGTTGTTATCGAGACGGTAATTAAAAAAAAAAAAAATAAAAAAAACCATCGATTCCGAGCACTTGTCGTGTGCGTGTGTGCGTGCGAAATGTGAAAGTTATGCGTGTGTGTGCGCGTGCGTTTTCAATCCCGATACTTCGCGAAACTCCGGAGGAAACGAGGGTACGCACCGCGCGGGGCAGGACGACCGACGGCTCCGCGAAACCAGTTTGTACCAAACTAGTCTCCCGGCACGAAACGTTCTGCCGGCCGTGCGTACACGCGAATGATTTGCCCGCTAACACGACCGTACACTGTAGGCGCGCGCGTCTGTGTGCTTATACGCCTATCCTGTGTACGCCATTGCGATTCCTGACCGCCGCTAGGGGCACGCGCGCGGAGACTTCAACGACCCCCTGCGCTAACAAACCTCTAAACCGTGGCTGCGGCGGCGTTGATAACAGTGATATTGATCGAATCACGCGTCTAACCGGTACGGGGCCGTTTGTGTTGACAGATCGGTGAACGATGAGCGGTCGCAGCAGGATCAAAAGTCCCGTGGGATGCAGATGCCACTACATACTGAAACGATGTATGGCCATCCATCTGCAGAAACAGTCGCTCGTCCGGCACGTACCGCAACAGACGGAAGCATCGCCGTACTGGATGTACGACAACGGGTATCTAATATTTCAGGTGAATACACCGAATGGTTGTTTACGGACGTGCACGGTATTTATGTGTTCTCGCGAGGCCATCCGTCGTCGACCGTTTTGCAGTACAACCGTGTAGTAGTTGTACCAATATGGTTGTTGTTTTTTTTTTTTTTTATACATATTTATTTGTACCGTAAGACCACAGTGATCGCTTTCAACGTACGATACGCGTATTAACTTTTCGAACGTCTCATCAGAATATCTTACTTTATTGTTGCGTACTTTTTCAATTTCAATTTTGCTATACCACGTTATCCGAAATAGTTGTTTTAGGCTACACTCTTTGAGTAATGAAACGTTTTACTGCCGTCCTTCGTAAAATATCTTATTCGTTTCACGACAGAATCACGATACAATCTATAATTCTTACGTATACGGTACGCGTATATATATAACGCATAAAATGGTAGGCTAATTAAGAATGTTAACCGTTCGTTTTCTTATAGTAGGTACACAATATTTTCGGTCAAACGATAACCGACCGCTGCGTAGTGCTATATTCATTATGGAGTATGCGTTACAAAAAAAAAATTTGTTCCCGTGATACTCGTTGTACTGCTTACAGGCATTGATATTATAGTTACGATTCGCTACGGTCGAGTCCATTTATAATTTAATACGACTTAATTTACATCTTACGGCGTATTCGTGTATTTTATCGATGCGTTTTAATTTACAACATTTATTTTAAGAAATAATGAAACACGCTTGCACACGATTAAATACGAATAAATGGTCCGGTAATGAGATTCGTTTATCTGCAGGTATGAACGTACAATCGATATCCGTAGAGTAATAATTTATTATTATTATTGTTGATTTCTTGCAGTGACTACAGCCTAATTACGCGTAAGATTTTCAACAATACTAGTTTCTATCAAATAGATATATATATATATATATATATATATATATATATATATATATATACTACAGTTATGGCTATAAATTTATATATTGTGCACATGTGATTATTGTACTTTCGAAAGTCGATGTAATAAATTTCAGTTCAACGGGTTCCCGCGAAATCATTGTTTTCCGTATTATGATAAGTGTCACGGGAGATGTATTTATTGTACACTGTTTTCAGAGCTTTTTGGAATCCAATCTAAAATGCGTCTGGAATCGAAGTCTCGTGGAGGCGATGCAAGTGGTGAAATACGAGGGGTACGTATCACCTGGTGTGTTATTGCTCACCGGCGATCCGTGTTCCATGGAAGTGATCAGAGGGGCCTGGTGTCGTAATGTGCTCAGGCCACCGAACAGTTACGTGATCACTAAAATTGGTAAGATATATCGTTTTGCATATATTACAATCGTTGTACGTAAACGCATTCATTAATCAGACAACATCGCACCTGGTGTTTGCACACATCGCAATGATAATGTATAATGGTACTGCTGGTAATTATTGTATTGACGTTATGTAACGCTATCAGGTGACGTCGAAGACTGTGTAGTGGAAGACCTGAATCAAGGACAATTCACGCCACTGTCCGAAGCCCTGTGTCTAGTCATATTGGAGTTGACCAGCGCCAACCAAAATGCCACAATCGACACTGTACGTTCGGCCCTAAAAATATTCTTCTCCAACATTCAACCACCGGCCGAACACATTATTTACGATGCGATGGTCAATCTCATGTCCGAAAATAAGGTGATTTGTCATTATATAGACATGAAAGAAATTATCTAACCAAGTTTCATTTCAACGCGATATAATTATATTTATTTAAGTATACCCGTCCTCTAATAAATGTTTTGTATCAAGCTTATTTCCAAACAATACATTTTATCGAAATTATTTTATTAAGTAGTTTTAGATACTTAGCTTACTATTTTATTCGTATGAACAAATTTAAAAATATACATGTCTGTAGTATTAAAATACAGTACCATGTTAACACAAGACGAAAATGATATATAGTGGTCTTCAATTGAATGAATTGAATTTGCAAATTATGTACAGGATAGCAACAAATATATGTATATAATATATATATATATAAATATATACTATATATTTATATTATTCTTGGTCTTACAATAAATATCTTCGTAAACCGGTTTTGTCAACTGAATTGTTGTTCGGATAATGTAATAATACAGCATAATGGTATTTTACAGATATACCAGACCTCCAGGGGTTATTTTGTTGTAACACCAGAGGTGCAACGACTAGTTGGTTCAGCGACCGCTAGCCCTGCACACAGTTTACGATTGGGAGGAAGTAGCCGGTACAGTCCAAGCAAAAAAGGATTTTTAATGACTACGGAGGAAGCGTACGTGAAGGTGCACGGAGACATCGAAACCTTAAGAGATGGAGATCAAACCCACCAGAACATACAGACGAACTTGGCAGACATCATCTCCGGTGGTAAGTTTACCCATACAATATTAACCTTAAAACATTAGTCTTCAAGGAGTCAACATCAGGTTGTTTGGTTTGTTATTTTTGAGCGAAAGGCGATAGCTATAATATAAATCAATACGTGATCAACCACGAGCTGATACTTCGTACATTATTTTTACTCAAGCACGTATGAAGTAAAAATCGATATAATACTTAGTACCTACTAACTAGAGCGACATAATAATCAATCTACTTTTTTCAACCAAATTCTATTCTGCTCCGTATAACGTTAAACATTTGTTGAGGTTCCGAGAGAAATCAATGCACTCGAAAGAAATGCTTCAGTTTAATAAAAATATACTGTATGTCGCATATCCGTTTGATCTGAAAGGTACCGGTCGCAATGCAACATTAGAAATTGTAATACCCTTGATAACGAAAAGATAAATACAAAAGGTGAACGTCGGACGGTAAACGTGTCAACAACGTTCATCAAGTATCCGGTCGTACCTATCTAAGATAAAAAATGATAAAAAAAAAAATAATGTACAGGTATACCTCCTCGTCCTCTGTCCTTCCGACACTCAACACCGATGGCCGACATCGGAGTTTTTGTTGCTAAACAGGTGAAAGGACTAGATTTTATTTAAAACCGTACGTATGTACATATTCATTTATGACACACGGTTTTACTGTTGTAAAAACATATTTAGTGTTTTTTCTATCATTAATCTGTAATCAAGTCCAACCTATTAGTGTGTCATGGGTGTATGTCGCGGTCTGCACACACACACACACGCTCTTATATTATTTTTTAAAACAATATTATACGTACGATACGTATCATAGGTATTTTATATTTATTTTTCTCGCAGACCCGTACCAGCAACCGATGACTTACGTGACGTATCCATCTATAATGGTACTAAGTGGGTTACGGTGAACTACACCATGTTTTGTCGTATTCCCGTGCATAAAACTAGAGACATTTCAGTAATGTGATCTGGTGATCCCAAAACTTAGTGGCTTCAGCTTAAACTTTTATTGATTTTTATACAAAGTTATAACATATGTTATACCACACGGTCTACTAGCAAGATTTTTGAATTTTTAAAAAAGTGCTCGATCTCGGTATGTACTTTGGCGCACTACAGTAAACCTAAATCTGTACAAACCTGGGAAACGGTTAAGAAATGTTGTTTCGCAGTAGCGTGGTATGCCTGACCAATACCCTTTGAAAAGTCCACATTTTTTACCAGTCAAAATACGTGTGAACCAGTGAAAAACCCTCTTGAAATACGTAATTATCTTAATTTTAACCCGTTCCACTCTCCTAATACGTACCTACATTAATTTTTTTTCAAATTCAAACACCCTACCACCCCTCGATAGTAAATCCTGGTAGCGCTACATGTTTGAAGTGTACGATTCTGCGTTGCCCCCTCTCCGCCCACAAGTGTGCGCACAGTTGATACTCGCTCGTCGCGTCATGACCGGTGTGATATTTTAACGTCAAAACGTGTTTGTTTTTCGCAGGGAATTGCAACGACAAAACACTGTCGCCCAGGAGGGACGCGTCCGGAAAACTCGAGAGGCGCAACTCGCTCAGGAGCGGTTCGACGTCCCGTCGCCTGGCCACGCTGCAGCGAAGCGGTTCCATGAGACATATATCAAACAAAAACAAAAACGACGAATACGGCGTGCCGTCCGCGGAGTGTGCGAGTACGACCAGCGAAACTCTGCGCACACCGACCACGGCCCGCGCCGCGTAAACCGACCCGGTCCATAGATCGTGAACAGACGTGTCCGAATGTATCGGAAAATATCGTATTGCGGCATGGATAGGACGCGCGTCGCCGGTGCACATGTAGTAGTGGTACGGCCAAAACGAGAATTTTGGCGACGACCAAAGACACGGTATCATAACTACCTGTTCCGTAAGTGTGCGGTTCGAACCGCAACTCTCTTTTTCCCTTATCGCTCCGTGCACGATTGCCCACAGCGGCAGTCATGAGTTCCTTGATCGGTCTCTGCGGGCCGTCGCGTACGTGACGTGACGATATGAATAGGTTCCCCAGTTTCCTTCTGACGGTCTTTCGGCCGACACATTTTAAGCCCCTGCGTACGTCCGGGGACCTGTTGTACAAAATCGCGCGTAAAACAACATCGTAAACGAATTAAAATGTCGGTGTTGGTTTTTTCTTCGATCGCTGTAATCCCGATGCAAGTCGCGTCGCAATGAACAAAAAAACCGACGGAAATTATAAACACTTGCGACGTTCTTCGAAACAATGTAAGCTGAAAAAAAAAACTGACCGCCGGCTAACGACGGGCAATTTTCTCTTCTAAAAACGTCGTAATCGATACGTGCGTAACGTGTAACGTCGTCCCGAAAGACTGTTGCATCGTCACAACGCGGTGGTGAATGAGAAATTGCGTGTTTGTACATGGATAATTTCCTAAAAATCACCAATTACATTAAGATAAATATTTTTTTTCAACACAACTGCGCCACGGCCGTACACACGATATTATTTTCTTATGGAAAAAAAAAAGAGGTCCACCTTTGCCCAACCTTTCCGAATATAACATATTTCATTATATGAAGATATATTATATCGCATGTTTAAGTAACATTATGTGTACCCGATTGACGCTAGCCCTGTACACACCGGGGTCCCTCTTAAGCTATACAAATGTCGGGAGTTGTTCTTTGGGTCTTTTCCAGTACAGGGCGCCCACCCGTCACATTATTAGTACAAAGACCAATACATTTGTTACATTACCTGTATAATGCGCGCGTAAAACGGTCGGATACGATAAAATATTCCACTGATATATGCGACTTCTCGGAGAAAAAACCCGCCCCTGTCCTCAAACGTCGCACTCACTATAATTACCTGCTGTTGCAACTGGTACATATAAATGTATTGGTAGTGTAAAAGGTGAAGTCTTTTCGCGAACCCACGCAATGTCAACATGATTTTACATACCGCAGATATTAAATACCATTTTATCGCTCACTGGACGGTATGTTTTATAATCATAGGTAATACGATACAATCGACAGAGCCTGTGGACGAGATGTCTTACGCCCGTAAATCTTTATTCATATCGCTATGAGCGCGCACAGAGTATGTACAAGGTATGCAGTCGCATATCCTGAACGTAAAACCGGAAATTTTTATCGTCGAATGATCTTAGTTTATCATTTTTACAGTTCTTATTTCTTATAAAGTCTAGCAGCTTAACAAAATATTATTATACTGCAGCGAACAAATTTAAATGTATAAATAAAATGTTAAATTAGCGGAATGTTTCTTGTTTTTTTTTTTTTTTTAAAAAGAATGCAATATTCACTTTCCATGACCACGTATCATCAACGATTTAAAAAATGCTACGAACAGTTTAAAAAAAAAAAAGAAAGGAAAAATCATTGATATAAACACAATAAGCAATCAAAAACTTATTTATTTATTTATTTTATTGTTTACGAACGTTGTGAAATATTTTAACTAGTGATTTTTCATATATTTTTATTTTTTAAAATTCGACCAAAAAATTAGTTGGAGAAATAAATTTTAAATTACATTGCGAACGGTAAAGTTGAGGAGTTCATACTTGTCTTTCATTTGCTTTTGAACGTAATGTCTGCGTACGCTTATGTACACAACGCTTGTGTATACCTACTGTCCATTATATGCTATGGTATAAGGTGCACCGGCGGCGACGAGTTTATTCGGCGCGGCTCGCGGTCGAGTGAAACGTCCGTGCGAACATTAACACTGTACATGATCGTTTGTTTCTCTTCCGCAGAAAAGTCTCCGGGCATATTTTCAAGACTATTCGGCAGCCGCAGGTCGACTTCCAAGTCTCGGAAGTCCAACAGCAGCTATTGCTGCGCCACTCAGTTCCCGCCGGACGAATGGTTCAACAGGGGCGTGCAACCCCAACAGTCGACCTCCACGCAAACGGAAAAGGTAACGCATTATAACGCAGCAGTACGCAAATGCTTTACGACTGCACTACATAATTACACCGTTATCAGTGATGTATTGCAAAAATAAATCATGGTTTATACGCCTTATTTCATGCAGTAACTATTATATGGTAGGAACCAAAAAAACTCACTCGTGAACTACACATCCTTAATTATGAATATCTGATGACAGAAACTTGTTGTTAAATGATAACAAATTTGAATTTTTCATTAAAAAAAAAAAAAATAATACTATAACCGATAACGCGATCGTTGTAGACTTTAACGTTCGTGCGCACGTAAATTACTCGTACTCGCAGACACGATACGTATCGAACACTATCTTACAATAATATTATGGCGTTGTTGTGTGCTGCACGTTCGGCAAAAGCGTTCGCGGGGGAGTTGAAACCCTCTCGTTGTAAATGTAAATGATTTGTTTTCCCGTTTCGTTAAACGTGTACATACGGTCGGTCGTGTAGCGTACAAAGTGCCCGTAAAAGTCGTGTAGGCATTATTTACGGGATAGAACGAATGGTTTATTTCATTAAGGTATCAAATCGTATTGGTATTGGAAGCGTAAAACATTTTTAACGTATTATTACAAAACCAATGGCAACGTAGCACGTATATATCCAAGGCGTAGGATATATAGTTTTGCATTTCATGACGTTATAACATAGCAGAATATATACGTATGTTTACAACGTTTTAATATCCGGCTTTAGCTTTTACGACGTCGGTAACAATATAATTGTTATTAGAACACCACCGTATAATGAATCATGTGACTACGCGCCTCACACATGAGGTTCATTTATATATATATATATATATATATCACTCTGTATAACGTGAGACTCGGCGCTGTTTCTTATCGGACACGTAACGACAAGAATATTCGTCCCCTGTTGGTCGGGTCTCCGTGAATTCCTGTCGGTCACCCATTCGAGATTTAACAACCTTTGGCGGCGACGCTCCCGTAATAGGTACCTATACCTACCTACAATAATAATGAGCCGACCTCGTCGGTTTTACGAAATCCAGTAATTCCAGTTGTGCCGTACACGTGCGGTGTTACATAAAAAAATATTTAACGCCTTCCAAGACTAAAAACGTAATACGGTGATTTTTTTTTTTTATTTATTTAATCGGGTTAATAACACTATATTACACGGCACGGCGAAAACAATAAAGACGCGTGTGCTGACAACATTGGGCGGGCTGAAGGCGATGAAATACAATTTTTAAAGTCGAAAACTGATATTTCTCCGCGCCCAATCTTCATCGAGGTAATAACCGTTGAATATTAATCGGGAAAAATTCTAGAATTCAACGCTCTGTCGCTGTTTACACACACACAAACGCGCGCGCGGATAAAGAATACTGTGTATAATAGTTATCGTTAATAAGGTAGTTCACGCGTTCAACGAGTTTACAATTATGATTGATTATTACGCGGCGGCGTGGATGGAAGACTTGCGGGGCATCGCGTTCAATTGTTGATTCATTCGGCTTGAAATACCAGTCACGATCCATCGAAATTAGGACCGCTCGTACACCGCACAGTCCCGTTTCGGCAACTTTCATAACCGAGATCTCCAGTAGTGTTTCCGCGAAAGTGTTTATTCATCATTATCTAATTGTTGCGTTTGTCGACGTAAACATTTTCGTTTTCCTTTTCCCGTCCGCGTGCAATACGTCGGCGCGTGAAAATCGAAAATGTGCTCACGGAAACGGACGACGGACGGTCTGGAAAGAGCGGCAACAAACGATCGACGTGTCAACCGACTCGCGCGGCGGTCGCGATGCCTGTCCGACGTTGCTCGCCGTAGCGTTTCTCGTCACAACTTTTTTTACCCGTATCGGCCCTGTGATCTGCGCGTATCGATTTGAACATGCGCTGTCTTCCGGCCGATACGGTTCTCGGCGGTCGAGTGACCGGTTTCCCGTCGCGCGGGAACTCCTGTGAATGGAGTTAGTAATGCCTTTCAACATTGTCACTTTTTATGAAAGTTGATCCCGAGACGGACTGTCTCTGCCTCCAGAATGAACTCAATGATCTGGTTAACCGGTTAAATACTATACGGTTGTCGTTGAATATAAATAAATGCCAGTCCGCGTCTTTTATACGACTTAATTAGAACTCCCTACAACTATACTTACTCTATTTGTGGAACCTAACCCTTGAGCGAGTATCTCTCGAGAAAGACCTGAGAATTATTTTCACTATAAATCTATACTTTCATATTGAGTGCATCTGCTGCAAAGCCTTCAAAACATTAGGCTTCATCAAACGCATCTCTTCCGATTTTAAGTTTTCATGTTCATTAAAGTCTCTCTTTTGAACACTTGTTATATCTATTGTCGAATTCGTGTCAGTCTCATGGGATCCTTACACTGCGACTAGCTCAGTTCAACTCGAAAGAGTTCAGCGCAAGTTTTTAAATTACGTTTCTTACATCCTCAAGACTGATTACTTGTAACCTTACTCACGATTATCTTCCCATTTTACAGTGTTTAAAACATAATTGTCCAGCCGACCGCAGAATTAATGCCAACTTAAGTTTTCTTTATAACTCTATAGATGCACCTGAATTATCATGCTAAATTAATTTTAGAGTTCCTAATATTCATTCTCGCACATCGGCTCCTTTTTATGTCCCCTTCAATCACACCAATTACGGACGAAACCAACCGATCGATCGTTAGATGCGCTTAGTTAACGCCTATCAAACTTAATTATTAACACTGTCACATCTGTTTTAGCGGTCTTATATTTTTAAATAAGTATATGCAAACGTTACATTAATATTACCTGTACCTCGGGCTTGCCTGTAACTAATGTAAAGTATAAAATGTAACATAATCATAAGACTGGTAACGTGTGCCCGCCGGTACACCGACCACTGTGCACGCGAAGTCTCATTAGTCTTGGCGTGTCGGAACGGTACGCGAACGGGAGGGGCCGTAGTACATCTGTTGTGCTTCTCGGATGTAGTAATTTTTTTTATTATTTTTATCTACGCAAGTCATTCCATATGTACATGTCTGAAGTCCTGCAGCGAGCGGCATGCACAACGTCGCGTAATATGTTTATTGTTCGTAACCACGCGCCGGGGGCACGCGCGGCGGTACGCGTTCGTTGGACGGTGTTCCGCGATCAGTTTTATTTTCGGAGACCGTGTACTGCACGGTCAAGCGTCCGGATAAGGCCGCCGTTTTTGCGGTTCAGACGGTGGTGGTAAAGGGTTGTAAACGTCGGCGAACGATTGAAACGCGCGCGTAGGTTTTTAATTGTCACGGGAATAGAAATTAAAGGTATTTAAACAAATCGATAGTATCGTGTGTACGCGGTGTGCATACACCGTTAATAATTACTTCATTGCAATACACTAATCGTGTGAGGGAAAACCGAACGTATATTACGAGCCAAGGCCAACGTTGAGACGTTTATAACGAATTACATTTAATACTTCTCCGCGGTGTGCTCGATACTCGAGGTGTACACGCAGTGCACCAGTGGACTCAAAACGATGTTGAGAAAGAGCTACACGGCGTACATGTGTGGCACACCCTACGTGGGAACACCGCTGCATTTGTTATAGGAGACGTTTAAGACGCGTGCGATATTTGAAATGGGATAAAAAAATCGTCACGCGCGCGAGTTTGCGCAAGGGTATCCGCGGACCGTTCGCGAGCCGACTGTACGAATAATTACAATCCGGCTCGCGGTATCGCATTCTATGACCCGTGTGCTTGCCAACTGTGACGTTGTCAACCTGACTTCAAGGTTCGCAATCCGTCGAAAAAGTTACCGATGCCTTCTTTCTCGTCGCCGTTCGATCGCGTTTATCGCAATAATATACGTAATAAATAGTAATAATAATAAATAAACATAACTTTAATTATTCATTTTTTGTGGTTTATTAGTGTCGATGAATACGTTTCCCTTGAATCTCGAATGTTTTTCCCAGATTGCATCAATTATTTATGATTTGTACTTTTGCAACCAGTTGTAGCTGTTATATTCTCATAACTTTAGATTCATTTTTTCCTATTACAAAATATGATTAATTTTTTATCAAATATTTTAGAATCAATTACATTTGATTTGACAAACATTAGTCGAAATACAGGTCCCTTACTCTTAAACTTAAACTGTAGAGCCCCATTTACGACGTTTCGTCGAACGTCCGGGCACACCCGGCACCCCTATGCGTACGTTTATGCCTACAACGTATCGTATCCTGTGTAAATCTATAACACAAATTACACTGCTGAACCACTTACATTTGTGAACTCTTCTGAACCATCATATAAATACAGGTATAATAGGGCAATAAATATAATTTACATACTTTAGTTATTATTTTAGAATGCGTTGAATACTATACACTATACACCACACCCTTCTTGACGTATTGATAAAACCGAAACCAATTAAACATATGATCATTGTAACACGCAATCCAACAGAATACGGGCCCGTTCGTAACAACATACATAACATAAACTGTAATATTACATGCGCGTGTTCATGCTGCGCACTGACTTTTAATATTTATTTGAAAATCACGTAACGAAAAAAAAAGTTAAAAAATTATATATATGTATTATACGAATATAAATACTAGTGTGTAACAAACGATAACCGAAATTAGATCTTGTAATCGTCCTATTATAAAGGTAATCGTTTCTATGCGCAGGCATTTTTAACGGAGGGACGTAATAATACACAAGAGTTCTGTCTACGCTTATTGATATCTTTAAGGTGGTGTTGATTTCTCGTTAAACGTCGATTAACTAGTAAGCTTCCGATAACCAATAAGGTCATAGTGAAAGCTAACGATCATATCGTTAAAGCTGTCCCGTCCGCCAAGGTACAGTTAACGAAAACCATAAGATTAATTTACCGCTCAGGTTGATTATTTTCCTTGTACAGTTGTGACGCTGAACGTTCGTGTATTGATATCACAAACGTCGGCACGACTTAAATTTTTGTGCGAACTGTAACTCGCGCGTTGCAATACGTGATAATATGATTTCGGCCGTTCTTAGCGGTCGAACATTGCGTTTAGTATCGATCCAAAACGATTGATTTGTCGGTTTGTTTATTAATTTATTTGTATTGACGCAGGAAGAGGACGACTGGAAAGCCAAACAATGGCCGGCTGCGAGGTTGACGAGGAGCGCGACGTTGCCGAGGAAGTCGCGGACCGCGGCGCCAGTCGTGGCCACCGCGGGATCGTTGGCCTGCAGCAACGGCGGCGACGGTTGCGGAGGGACGGGAAGCGGGTGCCGCGCGGACAAGAGCAGCCCGGCCGTGAAGAAGGCGTACCCGTCGAGCGGGTCGTCCGGGTACAACTCTTTGCCCCGGATGAACGGTGGCGGTCGGAAGTCCGGCGGCGCGGGCGGTAGCAGCGTCAAGCACTCGCCGTCCGAACTGTCGTACAAGACGACCGCCACTGCTGCGGCGGCCGCGGCATCGAAACCGGATGCGGAGGACGCGCGCAAACCGGACTCGGCGGCGACCGCGACGAGCAACTTCGACTCGAGCTACAGCTGCGACGAGATATCCGTCAACGACTCCTCGATCACGTTGACCATCGTCTCGCCGCCGCAGACCAAAGCGAAGACGGCCGCGGACCTGCGCAGGGAGTACTTCCGGGGCCCGATCAAGTACGGTCCGGCGACCGGTAGTTGCGGCGGCGCGGGCAGAGAGCTCTCGCAACAGGAGCAGCAGCAGGAGCAGTACTTCAACCGCGGGGGCGGAAGCGTGCGCGAGAGACAACCCATCGCCGCGGGTCTGCACAAGTATTTCGACAACTCGTGTAAAATCAAATGACGACCCTGCCCGTCGCGCACCGTCCGTACGTCGTTTACGTGTAATACTTCCATCTTTCGCTGTGCACGTCCAACGTCTAACGCGTCCGCGGCCCCGTTATCGTTGTTTCCGTGCACCCCGGACCGGTGGCGCCGAAGTCCGTAGGTCGGATAAACGAATCCTCCGGACCGTCCGAAAACCGGTGACACCGACAAGGACGCGGTCGATAATGGAGATCCCGCCGGGATCCAACCGTCCTACGTAAACGCCGGTTTCGGCGCCCCCGGTCGCAATAATTCGCGTACGCATGTGTCGCAACGTCGGGTTTCGTTCGCGTTCGCACTTGCGGTGGCGCCGAACTATATTTCAAGAAGAGTGGTGGCATAAATTTTTTATAAATGCTAAAGTTTAGTATCATATATAATATGCCTGTGGACTTACTGTAAAAAACAGAATACCATATAACTTTACGCCACCGATACAAATTATGAACATGTATAAAAAAAAATCCCATAATTCATGGACACCCACCTCTTCAAACAAGAGACGCGGCCGCCACCCCTGAAAGGCAGGATCGGCGCCACCGCGTACTTACATACACGTCGTCACGTCCTGTGCTATTAACACGTTGCGTACGCGAATGTGATTGCCATACTAAGGGGTACCGTTATAAATATATATAATATTCACGCATACATATGTTTTGTACGTAATAACTGTGTACACGTTTATATAAAAATGAAAAAAAAAAACGTTTTTATTGTTTATAACATGATATATTATTTATATATATATATATATATTGTTAAAGGGATGCCATAACATTTTTATTTATACATTTATTATACGCACACTAATCAAATAGAACTATACGCGTTATTGTAATAACTATATTATATTACCTATAAGCTATGTCTTAATATGTATAATAATAATATTAATAATAATAATAATAGTTAATAATAATAATAGTATAAGTACACTTTTCGACGTGATCGTCCGTCGTCTACGTAGAATATGTGGACAGTGAACGTTTTATTTTTTGTGACAAAAATAAAATGTAATATTTACTGCAACCTGCTGCAGTTGAAGGATGTGACGATGCGAGAAGTTTTGTAGACTACCCGAATTCGTGTAATCTGCACTTGTTAGACATAGTAAATAATTTATAACTGAATAAAAACATACTTAATATTCTATACTCGTAATAATATTCTATAACGCGTTCGTGCATGCGACAAAATACCTATCGTCCCACGCGACATCTCTGATGTTCTCGTGTGGAATTTTATAATATACGCTACGTGTTAAATTGCACACGAGCGACATGATGTTTTTCCTGTAGATGGGTTTTGTATTTTCCCCCGTCTTCAACGCTCGTAAGTCTACTCTAAACACGTTGAAACGTGCATTTTGTGGATTATAAATTACGATAACAATAGTGGGCTCCGTTTTACCGACCTTGTGGATTCTAAGGTTAGAGATTATACTCACAGATAAAACAATATGTGGTTAATACTCGAAAGAATCCATGTCTTATTTTTCGGATTGTTTCTTGTTCCTGTAAACGTCCTGAATTAATTTATCAAAAATTATGGTTTTTCCGATTTCTTCATCACTTTTTTTTTTTTTATTTATGTTAGAAAATTATTGTATATTAATTAATATTTTTATTATTACAAAAAGGAACAGCTATATTATTGGTATCACGTTTTTAGTCTTATAGACAGTACTGAAACATTTCGGAGAAGAAGTTTGTTAACACACAACGAAATGGACATCAATAAAATGTACAAATATTTTTTGTTTTTCAGAAAATAAATTATACCTTTAATAATAACGAATGTTACTAATACGAAATACTATTACAGGGCGAGTGTTATTTTTTAATCGTCACGGTACACTCTTAAGTGGCTAAATGTACTAAATATGTCAACTAAAACAAAAACCCGAAAGAGAAGAAGTCGAACACGAACATTTCCTCGCCTGACCATGTCTTGCACACAGTACTCCGTTAATTTTTTGAGATAAATGTTCAGTTGTATCGTTTTTTTAAAAAAATTTCAAATTGAAAAAGTGAAAAGTTTGACACGAAAACTCGTTGTTTTTAGAACACACAAGCCTCGTAGAATGTAGGACGAAGCATTTACGTGAGTGTTATCTCCAAAATTGAATGAACAAATCGTAAACAAAAGTTAAGAGTGAACTCGTCGACAACGGGTTTTCTTCAGCTTCTATCACCGATTCGGTACAGCTGTGCGACATTATCGTAATGTATCGCGTTGTGTTATAATTAGGCATCGGGACTTCTAGGAATTTGCATGTTTTTAAATAATCATCAAAAACATAGCTATGTAATTATGAATTCGTTTCATTGTTCGTTGTTTAAGATATAGATAACCCTGGGCCTCCACACGAGTTATCTCAGTGAGGCCCAGTAATCTATAAAAAAGATTTTAAATAATAATAATAATAATAATACAAGTTTATACTTAAAATTTATAGTTGCATATTATTCATATTTAAACATTTTTAATTTATATGCGCATATTTGACTATTTTTTATTTTATAAGTGCATATTTGACAATTATTTATATGAAAGAGTAAGTTTTTTAATTTAATAAAAAAAAAAAATTATGGATTTATTTCTTCAACTATCACACGACTAGAAACCCAAGGTGTGGCACTAACTAAATCCATTAAAATAATTAAAACTACAAAATAATACATACATTCTGAAAAAAATGAAGGATCTGCACAAACTAGAGTAATTTATGACAAAATTAAAAAAGTTTTGGAGAAAAATGTTGGATTTGATCAACTAGAAAAAATATTGAACATTTTAAATGAACAAAATGAATCTATAGACCGTTGCCTGTAGATATTAGTAGTAGTGACCTACCATTTTTTAAATTTGCACCTATAAATTCTTTAGACGTGGAACGTTACTTATTACGTTAATTATTTTTAAATGCATATTTTAAGGTTTTTAAGGGCGTGAAGTCCCTAGGCCTAGTTATAATGTTTTTGATCACCCTGAGACATTCGTCGAAATTGATAAGTCTCGCGCGGTCGACCAAACGTTTCCGTTAGAACAGGGGTGTCCAACCTTTAGCGAAGACTGGGCCACATCATATCAGTAGAAGTTGTTGTGGGCTACATACTTGTTTTTAATAATAATACATTCAAATTTAATAGTTAAATTATCTTCTATAATACAACAATACATTTTCTTATAATTTAACAATAGTAAATAAAAAGCCGAAATATTTTTACAAGTATTAATATTTAATTATAATAACACGGAAAAATATATTAATTTATATTAAAAAAATAAAATAAAACTAATGGGAAATTTGCAGTTGCTTTTTTTGTGAAAGTAACGAATCAATAACCGGATCGATTGAAGTTGAGGCAATCCTTAAACAACTTTCAAGGTGCTTGTGTGATATAGTGGACCGATTCTTACTCTTTGTGTTTTTCATTCTTGAAAACAATTGTTCGCGAATGTATGTAATGCCGAAAAGCGAGAACATGAATAAGGCATGTTTCTTTGGGTAGATATAATTTATAAAAATATAATAAAGATGACCGATTACATTTTTCTTCGAGTTGAATATCCGACGTGTGCGTCGGCCAGCAAATAAATAATTATTATATAAATATATCATATTTAATAATATACATATTATATATATATATATATATATATAATAAAATCATATACAATTAATTGGTGGTTTTTAAATTGAAGTGAAGGCCGCATCAAAATTTACCGCGGGCCGAGGGTTGGACACCCCTGCGTTAAAACAATAACACACCTATTGCCGTTAGTATTATTATTGTTCGAGATGCAGGCTCGGCTCAATGGGTAGGAGAAATAGGCCCACGCCTAGGGCGGCATTTTTCCTGGACAATTTTTATGTATAAGAAAAAATATTTGATAAAATATGTACACGTAAGGGGCGGCAAAAACTAAATTTCGCCTACGTTTGTTTAAACACTTGAGCCGGGCCTGCCGAGATGGGTAAATCATTATCGATGCGCGCACCCTCCGCCGTCCGGTGACATTCACGCGGCTGCAGGACGTCGTAATGGGCAACGGTATCGTTGAAACGGAACCGCTGCCGCGTCTCGGACCGCTACACGCGCGTATACGTGCACGCAAGTTGTGGCGCCAGGGCCGTCCCAAGGTTTTTCGGGGGCAAATTAATTTGGGGGCCCTTTGACCGTAATAATAAGATATGATAAACAAAATACTCACTGAGAATAACAAAATTCTCGCGAACGTATTTCTCCGAACCTTAACCAATCAAACCCGTTTGAATGCATTACATACCCGCATAACAGAATTGAATATTGTTCACTATTTAACCGCTCAATGTAATCGGACAAGTCACTACACGCGCGCGACTTTGATCGCCGACACGCAGCGTGTAATAGAGACTTGATCATTAATCATTAGATACGTGAAGACGTTACGAGGGCCCCGTAAAAAATATCCCGACAACTGGGCTCGGGGCAAAACGGCCCTGTGCGGCGCGGTGCGTATACTCAGTGGCGAAACTTCATAACGCGCCCTTATGCATTATCAGTTTGAAATCATCGTGCTTATTAGGTGTTGTCTGCCGACGATTGCTTTGATCGATATGAAGGGTGTTAAAGATTTGGTAAACAAAATGTACAGGACATTGTTAGCATTGAACGCGAGATATTCATTTTCGCGGTGTTCCAGTAATCGCGGCCGGAGCGCGGGCACCTGCCGCCGCGCCCTAGCTACGGTCCCGCCGTACGTTCACGCGGAGCAAATCGATATCCGTACGACGAACACGTGCCCGGTGATCCCGCTGTTGCGGTGACGGTCACTGGGCGCCGTGCCGGGCGAGACCTTGCGCGACTCGCACGCAGCGGCGTATACAAGGGGGGGACGTGGGGGTCGAATCCCCCACCCCCTGTTAGCTTTTTATTATTTAATTATTTTTTGTTTTTCCTTATATTATATAGTTATGCACTATAAAAAAATATTTTGTGATGTGAATCTATCGAGCTATTGAATTTTGACAATTTAGTCGACACTGAAAACCATTATAATTTTATTTTCGTTTACTCATAGCAAAGTAACGTTTATTTGGTACACTGGTCGAAATGCCAATGACGACTATGATTATACTTTATTATAGCTTATCTGATAATTTATAGAGACAATACTACGTACATAACAGTATGTATGTAACCTGGGCTTTAAAATATTATCGGATACTATCGTTGTTATGAGAAAATAGAATGAGATCATGATCGTTACGGGTTTAGTTCACCGCGTATACATAGTACATTCTATTTGTTTATCTGAAACCTAAAAAAAAAAAAAAAAGAAATTCACGGGATAATTGATAATTTATTGAACCTATCGTGGATTCGCGGAGAAACATAGTTCATAATTGTACCCACATTTACAAAAATAGCAGTGCCGTCAGACGTCAGATCGTTCCTATTGTTAAATGTTTTACTGTCTAAAATTTTTTAAAAAACTATAAAATAGTAAAAGAAATTCGAGGGGATGGGAGATTTTTTCAATTTTTCCATCCCATTTGGTCGTGTCTCGTTTTCTTTTTTTTTTGATCCCTCCCTCCCCCCTTTCAGAGATCATGTCCGCGCCGCTGCTCGCACGTTAACAAAACCGTGCGGATAAAGCGGTGCGCGCGCAACCCACGACCCGCCGGTCGAGTCGCGGAGATCGTTCTTAACACGTTGACTGCCATGTCTATTTCAGTGTATTATCGTTTGGGGCCACGATATTTTTTTACGTCTTTTAACTTATTTCTATTATGATTATTAGTCATAAATCTATCCTAAAACCATTTTATGTGTTAATTCACCTGTAGAGTGTGAGGGGTTATAATGTCCCTCAGTAGCGAAAAATATGTGAATCACATATTTCTTGCTTTTGAAGGATATTTTGATCCCTTAACTAAATTAAAGATACAAATCACAAAAATCTTGTTTATTCAACCAATATCAAAGCAAAATATAAATAATACAATAGTTACCTATAACAAAATAAATAAATTAAATTTTATAAATTTGTAAAACATAATAAAATAATCAGCCCCTTTTTTAATAATAATAATAATAATAATAATAATAAAATAATAATAATGTACATAATAGTAGTGATAATATAAAAAGGAACTATTTATGTTTTATTTTTAAGTCTAAACAATTAAAAATTTAAAGTTTATAATTAACATTTAATGATTAATTAGAAATAACCTCCTGTAATTTATTTATTATTTATAACTTTATAAGAAATGCAAATATTCAAATGCTAAATGGAGCGTTTTGTTCTGTAGATAACAGAGAATCTGATAGTTCGCTATTTTGATGGTTACTGAGGGACTATTTTATCCCATGAGTTGACAAAGACAACACAGCCTTGAGAGACAAATTAACCCCTCATGGTCCACTTCAAAATTCTACCGAGGGCAGAAATGACCCTCATGGCAGTCAACGTGTTAAAGCGCGCAAGGTCGTCGCCACCGCGCACGTCCCAACCGTTCGGCAGTGCGACTCGATACGGTACGCGTTGCGCGGCGAAAACGTAATGACAATAACGCGTACGCCGTATCGTGACAATCGTGCACAGGTTATATATTTGCACGACGGTCGCATGTCATTGTCGCGGGCGACGGAGGGCACTAACTCCTTGACGGCAGGTCCGGAGCCGAGTATCGTATTGTGTAATGGAAATCATTTGTCTGCGAAACATCGAACGCAATAATGATTGGTTTTTTTTTTCTTCTGCTTCCGAACAGCATCCTTGATCGCGAACGCGTTGGTATTATTACCGTACCCCTCAGATGTCCACCTGCGGGTGCCCTTGGAAGTTCACGTGCGCGATATTGTTATAACGATTGCTTGACGACGACCAGTACTGGTTCGATTTGTTGTTCAACGTTTGCAGGTTTTTTAAACAAGAAATATTTCAAAACAATACCGTAACATTTGCACATCATAAGGTCGTCGACGATTTTTATTTTGTAATAAAGGCATGGTTAAATGTAATCTAAAAGAAAAAAAAAAAATTAAAAGATCACCAAAAGTGTGAATCGAATCATTTATTTGCTGTACAATATTAACAATATCGTGTTGTGTTCAACAGTATGTGAATTATATATGAAAAAATTAAAAAGTTGAACTGTACCAGATTAAAACATTGTCATAAACGATTTTGAATCAATAATGTCAATCATTTGATGATAGGATTTAGCGCGAGAGTAATATAATCAATCAAATTGAAAAAATCAAATCTTAATAACGTTGGTGGTCACGAATTATCATACATCGCATTAGTAATTTATTTTTAGAATAAACACATTCAATATACAAGTTAAAATATAGCATTGCAGGCAATCGAGTAACTAATGTAATACAATTTAAAAAAAATGAAATCAATTTAAAATTCAATCAAGCTAAAATTTAAGATTGTGAGCAATTCCCTTTGAATGTAATTTCTTTGTATTGACTAATGTATTGTGATTAGTTATTGTTGGGATTAGTTTCTAAACATTATTACTATAACAATATAATAATATATTTTTTTACCTACACTTAACAATTATTAATATAAAAAACATTAATATTTACAGAAAATATATTAAATATTAAAAAATATTTTCATGGGAGATATTTTTACCTGGAACCTTGTCTACACCATGATGTAATAATATACAATATTTACTGAACATCAAAGTATAAATTCACATTTAAAAATGTATAATAATATAGAAGTCAGTGTCCACAAGATATGAAATAGACTTCGATCACATAGAAAATAATAATTAGTATAGTTAAAGTTAACAAATACAAAATAAAAGGTTTCACCAACAGTTTAATTAAGGATTGAAACTACGTTCGAACAATTTAAATATCTATGTAATATAATATAAAAATTATAATTAAATAAACTCGATTACCGGTTACATTTTTTTGAAATGTTACAGTGTATTACATTATGGTGTAGATCAGTGACGGCTACAGTAAATTTATCATGTGTATCCAAATTACTAAAATCTGTGGACAACCGCTGATCAACAAAAGTCATTTTTTTTTTTTTAATGTACAAGAACGATTATTTTTATAAAATTCTGTATATGAATTATGTACACGGCCATTCGAACATAGTGCAAGCACCTACCCAACACCCAAAATCATGTCTATCCGTCGATACACTTGAGGTATAGGATAGCCGCCACTGGTGTAAATATTATTGAGGATAATTTTAAGTATAAAAAACTATAGAATAATAATTTTCACTATGTATTCAAATTTAAGGTTTTTCTAAAATTCTCAATACCATCTGTTACAACTAGATCATGCAGTAAATACTATAATCCACACATGTATTAAATTTCATAGTGAACTACAACAGTTCAATTTTAATTGTTTTAACAATTGTTTTAGGAGTTTATTCATAAAATTTGTAATAATCAAAATCAATGACAAAAAAATTCAATAGATCAACAAATATACTTCAATTGAAATATAAAATAAAAAAAATGCCTTAAAGTACAGTGTTTTGAGCAAGTTTCTTTGATTGTATTTTAATTATTTTTGAAAATGATGCTAAGTCTTTAGCCCTGAAAACAAAACACACACAGATCAAGTTAAGGTCAGCGAGTTGAATATTATAAATATCACTTACAGTAAGGCATTTTGTTTTTTCTGGAATCCTCTTCGGTGTTTCTTGGGAGGCACATTGCTTGTTTCGTTTGTATTTCCAACAGGCCAATTCAATACCTTCTGATTGCTCATGTCCACTTCGTTGTCGTTATCACTACCGTCAATGTCGTCATCTTTATCGGACTTTTTCTTCTTCTTTTTCAAACCCTTCTGGGTCTTCTCAAGCCCTGGACAGGTAAGGAATATGAATGAACAAACGAAAAACGACGGTACGTACCGCAGTGTGGAAACGAGAAAGCGGTTGAAATGTTTTCTCTACTCACTTTTTAACAGAAACGCGTGTTTCAAGAAACGTTTCGCGTCTTTTTTCAACTTCAACGATTCGCCACCGCCACTGGACTTGACACTTTTCATCACGGAACACACGCTCATCTTGTCATCGTTTTTCTTCAAGCTCAACAGCTCTTCGGCCAGTTCCAAATAATCGGTCTGCTGCGACTGTTTCGTTACCTGTTCACCACCGTCGTTCTGGTCGGCGTTCGCTTTGGCCAATTTTTTCTTGTACCGTCGCACTTTTCCCATCGCACAGACGCACTTCCAACGGTACACTCACGACAGACGGCGACGAAAACACGTCACGTTGAGCTGATGCACGTTTATGCACGAGACTCACCATTGACTTAACCGGAAACTCGGAACGTTAAAAACGATCTGTGAAATAACTGTACACAACAAAATAACGTTATCATTCAAACATAACACCCTCAAGTGTTAGTCGGATGATAACGCCGCTTCAGTTGTTATCTATCGGAAACGGACCGCGGGTTGTTTGTCCACATTCAAATTTCGTTTGCTTCACTAATACACCATACGGGTCTGCAGTAGCTAATAAATTGTAGTTTCAATGAACCGAAATACTTTTGTAATCTTACTAGTGTTTTAGTTCCATTGAAATGCTGCTGATACCAATTGGAAATTAAATTGTTGAGCCTTTAACTATATAATTTGAGCCATTTTATCATCTGAAAACTGTATACTCTTCAATCAACGGAAAAAAACTGTTATGTACACTTTATTTATGAATATCTATTTATCTTTATAACTGATATGAGCAGTGATGGGTATTTGGTCACGTTTATAGATTTTAAAACATAATTGTTTAAGAATGAAGTCCAAAGAGAAACTAAGAACCAAGTGGGATTGATTACAACATAAAAAGGTATAGCCACTTCTAATAATAACCTAATTTAAACAAGTTAGCAACATATAAAAATATAAGTAATTTTAATTTAAGTATACATTACATCAATATTGCACCAAATATTCAGTATATTAAGTACAGTAAAATAGATATCAATATAGATTTACTTCCTTAAAAATAAATAATTAATTAATACTTAGTTTATAAAAATAAATGTATTATAAATTTTGTACTAACAAATTATGATTACAAAGAAAGGAAACATAAAAGATTAATTTTAAGTCTTCTTAAAAGGAAGTTATAACATAGATTAAAATTAAAATAAATGTCAATTATTAATTTCTGAAAAACTTATTTATGAACTTAAAATGCCTAAATAACAAGTGGACTGTATAAAACTTAATCCAATTTTATCTAATTTGTAATGTGAATATATGATAACAATAATTTATTTTGTTCTCCAGCTATAATATATATATATATACATGTTGTTAGAGATTCATAATAATACATACCTCTATGCTAATAAAATAGGGCCTAATTAACATATAAAACATTTGAGAATTATAAACTATTAAGTCAATTATAATAATAATTGTCACTAGAGCTTTAAATTTAATTTACATTTCATAAAAACTGTATTCGAAGAAATCATTTATTAATTATAAATATTTTATTAGAAAAAAAATAATAATAATTTAAAAATATAAAATACACAAATGTATATTGAAAATCAATTTTTAGGTGTAATTTTTACTAACAATTCGTCCTTTCTAACGCTATCTCCTTCTTTACGTAAGATTTTTTCAATTTTTCCATCAATCTGAGCTTTGACAACATACTGAAATAATTGTCCAATAAATGAATATGTATACTTCAACACATTGTGTTTACATAACTTATACTTACTTCCATTTTCATGGCTGTTAAAACAACTATTGGATCCCCGTTATTAACATTATCACCAAGACTTACATTTATTCTTTCTATTGTGGCTTGAGTGGGTGCTATAATAGTTTCATTACTTACTGTGTTTTGTTCATCACTATCCATAGTTTTTTCATCAAAAGGTAAAATAACAGTAAACTCGTTTTGTTCATCCTAAAAAAAAAAAATTGTTTTCAGTAGGTATTTAATTAAAAAAAAAAAAAAATGATCACAGTAATACCTTATTAAACAAATGTATTGAGTTTTCTAAAAAAGCAGCATTAGATTTATACAATGTACCATCAACTTCACAAATTAGATGGAATTTGTTAGGTCGTGATGGATCTAAACTACCATTAACATTTGACTCAATATCAACATCTTTATTCTTAAAATTTATTTTGAATTTACTGTTATTCGATCCTACTTCATAATACTCTATGCTAACATCGTAAAATTCTAAAATATAATTATTATTATACTATTTATAATATAATTCTGAATAAAACAAAAATGTAATGATAAATTATAATGATTGTGCAATTTACCTCCACTCAGATTATGTTTAAGTTTAATTTTTCTCACAAAATTGTGATTTACTCGAAAGCCAGTTTGAGTAGTAAATGGTGAATATGGATCTTTGGTAAAAACATTTTTACTAATAGTGTAATTCTCTTCGTGTAATATTAAAGCAATAATTGCCTATAACAATGAAATGGTATTAGACTGTTTATAATAACAATAATATTCCAATATAATTACCTGCGAAATTAATTCTGGTTTAGGAAGGTTTTTTGCCAGAAGAAAACTTTTATGTTCTTCTATAAATCCTGTATGAACATTGCCTTTTAATAGTTCAGGATGTTTACACAGTGACATTAAAAATTGAACATTTGTAGACAAACCTGCAATCTTTAAATATTATTACACAAAAATATTGTAGAATATTTATAATATTTCTTACATTAAATGCAGCCAAATTATTCTTTAATTTAGCAAATGCATCTGATCGAGTTTCACTCCATACTACTAATTTAGCTATCATAGGATCATAATGTACAGAAACATCATCTCCTTCTCGTACTCCAGTTTCAACACGCACTTCATCTGAAGTTAACGGACAGTCTAAATATTTTAAATTTCCAGCAGCTGGTAAGAAATTATTAAAAGGCTCTTCAGCATAAATTCGTGCTTGAATAGAATGGCCCTTGAATTTGATTTGATTCTGTTTTAATGGTAATTCTTCACCTTCAGCTACCTGTAATATTAATATTCATTACTATTATCATATATATTACCATATTTATTTAATGTACTTTAATTTGCCAATCTACTAAATCAACACCAGTAATCATTTCAGTAACAGGATGTTCTACTTGTAACCTAGTGTTCATTTCCATAAAATAAAACATATTGGTGACATTATCAAATATGAACTCTACGGTACCGGCCCCTTCGTAACCAACAGCTTTTGCTGCACGAACAGCAGTTTCTCCAAGATGTTGTCTTATGGTCTCACTTAATCTGGGCTAAGATCATAATATAAATTAAGAGCCAATCAACAACAGAATGACTTGATAAATCTTACAGCAGGTGCTTCTTCCAGGACTTTTTGGTGACGCCTTTGTACACTGCAATCTCGTTCAAATAAGTAGACACAATTATTATACTTATCAGCAAACACCTGGACTTCTACATGTCTAGGCTGTTGTATGTATTTTTCAATTAAAACTGAATCATCACCAAATGAACTTAAAGATTCTCTTTTAGCTGACATAAGGTTTTCAAAAAATTCTGATTCTTTTAATACAATTTTCATACCCTAAAATTAAAAAAAAAAAATTGCCAATAATAATGTTTTATGGAAACAATAAATTAAATTAATTTAATAAATTAATCATTAAATGCATTACAATTTTAAAATTTAACTTTACCTTACCCCCTCCACCTTTAATGGCTTTTATCATAACAGGATAACCAATTTTATTAGCTTGATTTTTTAAAAAATCTGGATTTTGTTCTATCCCGTGATATCCTTCTATTACAGGTACACCAGCTTTAGACATGATTTCTTTTGATGTACTATCATTAATTAAAAAATCATTTTTATTTAAAGATGCTACATATAAATACCATGGGATGCATACACTTAATACCTTTTTATTCCCATACTTTCAATAGCATGTGAAGGTGGGCCTATAAAAATTAAATTGTTACTGTGACAATATTGAGCAAATGACGCATTTTCTGAGAGAAAACCATAGCCAGGATGTATGGCTTGACTATTAGTTTTAATTGCAGCAGTGACAATACGTTCTTTAAGCAAGTAACTATGTGCACTTGGTGCTGTACCAACACATACAGCTTGATCAGCCTATGAAACATAATATTTTCAAGTATTTAAATATCGTAATATATTAAATAAATAAAATAATAAAGAGCATATTTTACCATAGCCACATGCATGGAATCTTTGTCGACATTGCTGTACACAGCAACGGTTTCGATTTGCAGACGACGTGCTGTTCTTATGATTCGACATGCTATCTCTCCTCGATTGGCAATCAATAACTTGGTGATACGTTTTGTTGATCTATTTTGAATACTTCTCGCACTGTAAAATAATACAAAGCCATTTTAAGTAATTTAAATGGAAAAATTATAGATATACATTAAATGAACAGCATAAATAATATATGATATACTCGACCTCAAGTGCATTTTTATGTATAAATAAAAAAAAAAAATTGTGCTACAGTATATTTATAAATATTATACAATAAATGAAAAATTTTTCAATGTTTAGTAAATTCCTGTACCTTGTTAAAAATACTCAATAATAAATAATTAACTTTTGGAATTAACATACACTCAATTATTTGTTAACACACATGTAATAATTAATAATCAACAATAGTAAAATGAAATAATGAACCACATTTTTTAATGAATTACGAATTAATGACTGTAATGTACAGTCTTTACTATAGGCAGGTGAAACATATAATTATTCTTATCTTATCTCATTTCACGTGTTCACTTAATCTGTAGTTTAATGAACTTTTGTTGTACAGCAGACAAAGCGTGGCACGAAACGTAACGTTTCATTAAACGGCATGAACTATATTTCTATGTTATATAGGTCGATATGCTGACGTTAAAGATCTAGATGCATAGTATTATTATTAATTATTCTAATAATATCGTGTAAAGAAATAAAGAGAAACATAGTTCATTATTTTAAACGCAAGTACTATTATTGTTATTATTAGTATTCCACGGTGTACAGCTATGGTTACCGCAGTCGATCATTTTTGTTTAATTTGATTATAATCAAACATGAAAATAATTGAAACACTATCCGAAACGTATTCGTGTAGTACTTACTGAAAATCATCGTTGAAATATTTATTTTTTGTTTACAGCTTATAGTAGGTTGAAAAGTTATATTTACATGAATACAATTATGGCGTAAGATTTTAAATACTGTATTGTTCAAATGAATTACTGCGATCGGTAAGTTTGAAATAGCTGAAGAATAGGTTTTTATTTGTACTTGAAGGAAAACATTTAAAAAACATGAGGAAAGAGATAAGGAAAAAAATACAAGTAGTGTGACGTGAAAATTAAAATACAAAATAAGTTTCAATGTGTGTTATATAATTTTTAAATAACAAATTTGTAAATCTCGTGATCGATGTTGAGAGCAACAAAAAATGAAAAATTCAACAGATTTGAAATCGAGCGGGCTTGGCGATGTAATCGACGGTGGATCAAAACAACGATAACCCCGGGGAGAGCGCAACCGTAATGGTCGCACCGTTTTGCCGTGTCGACTACTTTGCCGACTGTTACCAGTTACCATGAATGTGGTGTGTCCAATTTTTGTTTACTATCTGTCGTCGAGTGTTGATTGTTTGATACCAGTATACACTATCGTGTTCACTTCTTACCGTCACTGACCGCGTTTCTCCTGTCCGTCCGATGGTGATGTTCAGAATTACTTGTGAGTTTTGACAGTATTGGGATTTGATTAGTTTTTCTTTCTAGTATTACTTGTTTACATTGACATACTCATCTAAGTACTTCCAATGTGTATATTACGATCGTTAAAAACATTAAATTGACTTACAGCCGTCGGTCTTGGTATGAGTTTAAACCAGAGACAACATTAAATAAATCGGAAGTCTTGTAAACGTAAGACATTTTCCACTTACCAGCTTTATGTTGTGAGTACATAAATATTAAAACTTTGATGTTTCGTTAGCACTATATTAATACGTTTTTGGAAACTATAATTCATTCATATATCCTATTTGCATTTTAGGTCTCTTATTTTGAAATTGAATTAGTTCAATTTCTTATTTATCTTTTGACATAAACTTTAGACATTTTGTATACGTTTTAATTTTTAAACTGTGTTAAAGTTTTAATTTTCTTGGGAAACATTGTTTAATAACTATCTGGGTTTTGTGTGATAAAAAAATAGTTAGGCCAGAAATTAAAATTAATCTTAAATATTCCAATTAATTTTAAATTAATGGAACAATTATAATTGTGTAAAGAAAAATTTGATACTAAAAATTAAATGTAAATCTATATATTTTGTATTTGCATTTTAAATCCCAATAAGCAGGTATTTTAAAAACATCTTGATTTAGTTTTACAAAAAAAAAAAAAAGAAGAAAGTTAAATAAGTGAATCAGAAATTTCTTCCTTCTATGAGTAAGACATTTGATACAGATTGTAAATTATAACTTCTTGATCGTTCTACTTTTGTTTAATAATAGCATAAAATATATTTTATTAGTTATGGGTTTAGGTTTGTCTTTATATATATATATATTTCAAATTTCTAAATTTGTTTTATTAATACATCTTTTTATATATTATTAACTCACTTATTTTAATAGGTAGTAGATCTAAGTATTTTCATTTGCGTTGATTCAAAATAATTTATACTATCACTCAATGATAATCATTGTATTTATCAGCATGGTTAAAATGTACACCGATACATTATCCTGCATAATATATGTTATTATATTCTTCTATAATATACAGTTTTATTATATAATAACTAGACTGTAAGACTAGAATTTAATCTTGGTGATATTTTTTTTTTTTCATTAGGTTCATACAAGAAATAAGTAAAAAATAGAATCCAACATAAAATAAATATGTATAAGCAATGGCTTGTTGTTTTATAAAATGTAATTAATTTTTACAAAGATTTCTGTTATTCCTTCAGATAGCTATAAAACACAATTGCTAGTTTGTCTAAATTTAAAATACTAACAGTTAAAAATTAATTTAACCTGTTTAGAGATTAGTACAACTTAGTAGTTATAGAAAATTATTATAAATTTTATATTTTAATGTATTTTATTTCTTTGAAAATCTGTTACTACAATAAATAAGTATTAATTTTAATTATTTCTTTCAGGTACACTATATTTATAAATTTAGTAAAATGATCAAGATTTTCTTTGGAAATTAAATAATGCAAGTACAAATATTATTTTAACAGGTAAATAAAATAAAATATTTTTTATATCATATGAAATATTTAAAAGTAATTATCATTTTACCTAATAGTCATGAGTGTTAGAAATTATAGTTTTATGATTACTACTGATTTTGGCTTAAATCATCATAGCCTGGTTATAAAAATAAAAAGAATTGTAATACATAAAAATTATATTCTATGATAGATTAAGCCAAAACCAATACTTATAGTAATACATATAGTTTAGGATACTAGAATATTATGATTTATATTTCAATTTATTTACATTTATGTTTTATTTATAGAGTATTAAACCTATATCATATATAGTTATAAATAAAAAACATGGCACATTACAATTATAATTTGTTTTACAATTTTAATAAAAAATGATTTGTTCCATTTTTCATGATTCTAAGTTTGATAATTTCAAAATAAGTCTTTACTAAGGTTTATAACTTATTTTTAAATAAATTATATTACAAGAGTGGCCATCATGAATAGATTCGCAGGCCATACAAATAAATAAAATAATATCAAGAGCCAAAATGTTTATAGATACATATTATATAATTTGATATATTTTTTTATACATTTATACCTTAAAAATTTAAATTCATAATAATAAAAATGTAATAAGTAAATTTTAATTTTATAAATAAAATGCAAATCGCATCTGACCATGAAAAGAGCCACATGTGGCTTGCAAGCCGCAAGTTGGCCACCCTTGTTATATTATATATACAATATTTAAAATCATGTTCTTTTAGTCATTAATTTGGGTGAATATATTTTTTAATTTTAAATAATGATAATAATGTTATTACTTTTAGTTGATATCTATAATCCTAAAATAATAATAATGCAATTCTATAATTATTAATTATTAATTGAGATTTAAGTATAACTTATTAATTGAAAATATTTTATTTTAACATTTTTTTCAGATAAATTGTGAGTTATTTTCCTCTTGAATTTTACCATGTCTCCAACACCTTTGGAAGGCAATCAGCCCAACATGAGTAATGGATTACCTCCAGATGGATCTCTTTCTTTATCTGTTCTAATTGACTTTATTGTACAGCGTACTTATCATGAGCTTACAGTTCTTGCTGAACTGTTACCTCGTAAACCTGATATGGAACGAAAAATTGAAATTTATAAATTTGCCAATCGAACAAGACAGCTTTTTGTACGTTTATTAGCCCTTGTTAAATGGGCTAATAGTGCTTCAAAAGTAGATAAATCTACTCAAATAATGGGATTCCTTGATAAACAGTCATTGCTGTTTATAGATACTGCTGATATGTTAGCTCGTGTTGCTCGTGAAACTGTTGTATCTGCACGATTGCCCAATTTTCATATTCCATCTGCAGTTGAAGTATTAACTACTGGTACTTTTTCACGATTACCAGCATGTATTCGAGAACGTATTGTTCCTCCAGATAAAATTACTTCAGCGGAAAAACGTGAAACTTTACTTCAACTTAATAGAGTTATTCAACACAGATTGGTTTGTAGTAATCTTATTAGTGAAATGAGTTGCAAAAAAGTAGCTAATGGTCGAGTGACATTTCGAGTGGAAAATGAGTTTCAAGTATCATTAACTTTAATGGGAGACAATCCAAATATACCTTGGAGACTATTGGACATTGAAATATTAGTTGAAGACAAAGAAACTGGAGAAGGAAAACCCTTAGTACATTCACGTCAGGTGCAATACATACATCAAGTTGTTCAAGCAAGATTGTTAGAATGTTGTAGTGCAGGAGGTGAACCATTAACTCAAGTGTACATGATTTTGCATTATTTTTGTCAATCTTTACAATTGGAAGTATTATTTTCACAAACTAGAGCTTTATATAAAGATAGACTCGAAGGGCATATACATATAACAGAATATACTGCTGGCAAATGTTTAGTAATTTCTTATTGGAGAGAACTTTCACGCAGTGTATCTGAACAATTTGGATATTCATTGACAATATATGTAGATGACAAAGAACCTAATAAACCTTTAGGTGTTTTACATTCACCATCTCTTGGAACAAAAGATGCAGAAATAACTGAAAAGTCAATCGGTACGGATTCATTATCTATGGAAAGATTATTAGTACACACAATTCATGTGCGTACAAAAATTCGTCTTTCTGAGCTTAAAGTGGAGTTAGAAAATTTGTTAAAAGATGTTGAATGTACTTTGCAAGGATCTCCTGCAATTTTATCTGTTGCAATACTTAACCCATGTTTACGCGCTGAACAGTTATTAATAACAGTTGACACACATACTGGTATGCTTCAATGTCATGTTCCTGAATTCAACCCACCCAGCATGGTAGTATTACAACAAGCTTTGAATAACGAACATAGCAAAGTACCTTTACTTATAAGTGATTTAAGATTTTGGATAACTCAACGTCGGTGTGAGACAACTTTACAACATCTTCCTGGAACAGCATATGAAAGATTACCATTATTACATCATGCAGATCATCCTATGTCAAAAATAAGTCGCCATCGTATGTATATAAAACTTCATAAAATTTCAAATATGATATTGATAGTAGAGTTTGCTGAAAATGAAAAATCACCTTGTAGAATTGAATATAAATTTTATTTGGCTAATGTAAAGAAATCTTCAATTGAAGATAATCCCAATGATGAATCTATTGAAGTAGATATACCAAAAATGTATTTAAAGGTTTTGACTCTATTAACAATTGAAAAGTTTGTTGCTACACATGGTCCATTTACATCTGTTATTGAGGAAGATCAAGAAAAAATTGATCCAAATAGTCGTAAAAGAGTAATTGTACGTCCAGATAAGCCTAGGAAACAACTGAAACACCCCGCTTACTTTATACCAGAACTTGCACATATTGTAGCTTTATGTGATGAACGATTGCCGTTTACTGTACTAGCTCAAGAACTAACAAAATGTGGTATCAGCAACCAAGGGGTTCAAGTTGAAGCAAATGCTACAACTTTCGTCTTAAAAATTTTATCATTACCACCTCCATATGGTATTGAAGCAACAAATCCAAAATGGATATCATTATGTAAACGAGTTTTGTCTATATCTATTAGAGTCTATGGAAAAGGTACAACTAGATGTTGGACTACTGAATATGTATTTTATGGAAGTCCCTTACCTAGTAGACATAGTCGAGAACAAGGAGCTCGTAGACCAGTTTACATTAATTATGATGTTAGTGTTGCTGAAAATATGTCAAAAACAGTAGAGACTATTTTAAACGATTGGGCCCAAATTGTACATCTATACTTTTTAGTGGAAGATCTTTCGCCTTATTTACAATCTGAGAAAAATAATCTAGCATCAATGATAAGTATAAAAAGTTATAACTATTTGAAATTAGTTATAGGATATGGTACACATAGACGTTCAACAGCTACTATTCAATGGAATTCTTCTAATAGTAAATTTAATATAGTATTCGGATCACTTAACAGCAGTATTAACCCACATAATTTAATTAAAGAACAATTTGAAGGTTATTTGAACAGCAATAAAAAATTATCCTTGCTTATACATGAAATGCTTGATACACTAAATCCACTTAGTGCAATTTGCAAGTTACCCTCAATACCACAACTTTGTGTGTTACAAGTCAGACCACAAGTACCAGTTATTACATTCGGAGTAGTTGCAAATTCAACAAATTTACTTAAAGTTATTTATGAAGGTCAATATTGTTTAGAAATCACATTACGATGGGGAAATTTAGTTAGCATTAGAGATGGAGCTTATAGTAGATATGATAGAACGTCTGTAATTTCAGAATATACACCGACACCAGGATTAAAAGCATTTTTATCTAAGTATGTAGATGAGACAAATGTATTTAGACGACGATCTCAGTCTGAAGATGATAATCCCCCTTCACCAATCACTATGGATAATGTAGAGAGTAACTTTTTAAGTGGTTCATCGCATAGAGGTCCTCAATCACCTGCACAAGGTCTAAGGTTTCATTCTGCTGGTAATACAACACCAGGAAGTAATCCACATACACCTGCAAGTCCGCATCCTGCAGTTGGTGTATCAAGTATGTCTCAAAATCCTCAACAGCAGTTTAACAATAGTCCAGTGACTACATTTAATTTGGCATCTCCTCCATCATTACCATCAAATATCAATCCCTCCCCTTCAATGTTACCACATCCTTCACCAGGTTCAAGTTTATTGGCTAGTTCTCCATCTAATCCTATGCATGTACCTAGTCCTGCAGGAATGTTACCAAACTCATCACCAGGCCCAGGTTCAGGATTTGGTTTGAGTTCAAGCACTCACCCACCTGAAGTGAGTCCATTTCCATCTCAAAGTATGACATCACCTGCTGCATCTAATTGGCCTGGTTCTCCAGGATTACCTCGACTATCTCCAGCCAGGGCTCAAGGACAATCGCCGGCTGGTCATTCTTTACAAAGTCCTGACCATAAGAGTGGTTATGGTCATACATCTAGGGTACTTCCTCAAAAATCTTGGGCTGGAGCAGTGCCTACCATTATTACACATGAAGCATTAAATGCTTTATGTACACCAACTGCTCACCCACAAGGTCTGCCTGCTCCCAAACAGTGTCCTTTGGAAAGGTTTTTAGGTTGCGTTTACATGAGAAGAAATCTTCAAAGATTTGTTCAAACTGAAGAAAATTTGATTGCTCTAAGTTCCTCTGAGCCAGGTGTTGTAAACTTTAAAGTTGAAACACTGCAATGCCGAGCTTTTATAAACATGCAACATTTTCAGTCATTACATTTAAAAATATCTTGTATTCCAGAGCCAAAAGATCCATGGAATGTCGAGGAGTTAAATATTTTAGAAAAATTTTTTGAAACTAAAGTAGCAATACCACCATGTAAGCCAAACACATTGCTTGGTTTTACTAGGATGTTGAACTGCCCATATACAGTACTTAAGGACTTTATACAAATAATGAAATTAGAAATGATTCCTGGACTTATTCAACAACAACAAATGAAATGGACAGTTCAATGGTGTCTTAGAATACCACCATCAGCTACTCCAATTGTGCCTGTTGGCAAAGAAGCTCTTTTAATTTGTAGGAATAAAATTTTATTCTTTTTACAAATCACTAGAATTGGAATTACATACAATAGTAATGAAGTGCCTTCTTTAGTTCTTCCCCTAGTTTATGATACTGCTACTAATCTAACACAATTGGCCGAAAAAAGAGATGCTGGTCCAGCATCAGCAATATCTGCAGCCAGTCTACATATGAAAAGATTTGCTGAATTTGCCCTCAATCATAATGAGTGTTCTATATTTCCAGCAATTCGAGATTTAATGTCAAATTTTGTACTCCCTTCTGAACCACAACCACAAATGTCGCCTGCATCAATGAACATGCACCCACAAATGAATACTGGTGGACCAGTTCCTTCCCCATTAATGGGACAACACATGATGAATCAGAATCCTGGAATGGTCGGACAAAATCCTAATATGGTTGGTCCAAATCCTAATATGGTAGGTTCAAATTCTAATATGGTTGGACCAAATCCTAACATGGTTGGACAGAACCCTAATATGGTTGGACAAAATCCCAATATGGTTGGACAAAATCCAAACATGGTTGGACCGGGATGTAACAATTATGGTGGTGTACCAATGTCAGCTATGGGACCTCAACATGGTATGATGCCTAATCATCAGTGACATAAAGCTTATTATTCAACGTAAACAAACTAGTTTAAGTAAATGTTATTTTACATTTCTTTTTATGTACATTTATAAAAAGCAATGTAATATTGGTGATTATTGTGTATTTGTATTATAACATATTGTATCTAATTGTTTAATATTCTTAAATTACTTGATTTGTACCCGATTAAATTTATTTTTCAAATAGTATTCTAATTATTTTTACTTTTGTATGACAACATTTATTGTTACTATTTAAAAATTAAACATCAAGTTAAATTTTCCATCAAAATTAAATTATGTAATTATTGTACAGCTTTAATTATTACATAAGGTGTATTTGTATATATCCATTTATGTATTTGTTAATATTTATTATTATAATTTTATCTTCTTAGTTTTAATTATGTGATAAGAGTTCTATCTAAATTATAGTAAATTCATTTTTTGTATTCCAATCTAATTTCTATAATGGGTATTACAATTATGCAGTTAAATTGAACTCTTATTCTATTATTAGTATGGAAATCTTACAATACTTGTCTTGAAAATGTCAGGTTATTTTTTCATTTTAACCAATTGAACCCCATTGTATTGGTTAGGCTGGTTTAGCTTATATTTCTTAGTGATTTATATTAAAGCTAGAGTCTTGAGATACCGTATGCAGTGCTAATTGTTAACTGCGTCTAACTAACTGCTGCACCATAACATGCATTGATTATTCATTTTATCACCAATTAAATATCAAATACGAACTGTACACATTTATTAATAAAATAATAAATGAATCAAAATAAAACTAGACATTTAAGTTAGACATGCCCTTTTTTTATGTTTCGTGGTAGGAATACAATTATAAGAAAAAAGCTGGGCTATGAAAAACATTTCTCTATCTCAAGAGACTTACTATTAATTTAATATTATTTAATGTATGATAGGATAATTTATTTTTTGAGAAAATGTTTATTACAACTATGTACAGACATGTTTTCAAAATCCAAAAGAAAATTAGATTTTGCTTTATAATTTTTAATTTAAATTCATGTTTAATATTTTTTTTATTGTTCTTAAATAAAAAGCTTTTTTTTCAATGTGCCTACTTACTTTTTTAAAACTTTTACTTGAAAGTTAGTTATTCCTTTACAGTGATAAGAAATATTTATGGTAAACTGTAATACTTATAACATTATAGAATTATTGAATTTTATATATTTTATTATGTCCACTGTTGATTAATGATGATAAATTTCATATTTTTCATAGTAATAAATCAAATAATTATTTTACTACGTTGATACACATGAATCAATAATGATTGTCGTAGTGGGGAGCTGAAACCAATTCTGTCCTCGTGGTACGCTTGTCGTTTAGTAGCTTACCCGCCGAGGTTTTAGTAGGTACCCGTTTTATTTTTACTTTTATTTTTTTTACATAGTTTTGGAACTGCGCTGATGTCATTTGTGAGTAGGACGAAGGGAGGAGGCGACGTAGGCGTTTGATCATGAAAATTAGCCCAAAAGGTTGGTTGTTGCAAGTTGCAGCCCAATAAGCGTAGAATTTTGAGAATTTAACGCTTGGTACCAGGTTACTAAAAATGTCAAATATCTTGAAAAATTATTTACTATGATCAGAAAATATTTATTTAAATAAAATTTAAAAATTTAATTTAATATATGAAAATCTATAATTTGTTTATGAAAAATCTATTTATTTAGTTTGGAAAATCAGGTTATCAGATATAAATAATAATATGCTTTTTCGTTTCTATTCTATGAATAATTATCAATTCTTAAGTATTGTGTATTTTCAAAAATACAGTACCTTTGTATGTGTGTGTGTGTACTCAACCATAATATTTATATAATATTTGTAAATTAATATTTTAATAAATATAACTAATTTTTTAAGTGTCCGATTTATATTATTAATTAAATAAAAATTTCAATAAATTACTTTTATGGTAAATTGGTTAAATAATTATTATTTTATAGTCTTCCAATTTGATATATATAATGTAATACTATAACGTAAAATTGTAAACCCCTTCCTATATCGTGGGTCATTCCTATTTATGAATAGATTGATAAATTAAAATGTTGTCCCCCTTGAGAATTTTTCTATGGGCGCCCTTGCAGGTAACCGATTACCGCAACAATAATTAATAGCCGTTATAAAGTCTATACCTTTGCTATGTTATACTATAAACTTTACTAACTGTCGAACGAACGAAGACGTGGACGCTTAGTCGACTCTAACTAGATTGTCTATAAATCATTCTTACCGGTAACATTTCCTAGTCTACAAGTTATGATTAATTTTATTTCATTAGTTCTTATTCGTCGAATTTCCCGAAACATTGTTTTTATTTCGAAATTAATAATTTTATGTGAGAGTGGTCGCTCGCGTAAAGCTTAAGAAATCTTCAAAATAAAGAACGCAGGACCGTTCGTAGAGGGGGGGGGGGTAATAGGACCATTTTGCCCCAGGCTCCGTTGTCGGAATATTTTTCACGGGGTCCTCGTAAAGTCTTGATGTATAATAATTAATAATAAAGTCTCTATTACACGCTGCGTGTCGGCGATCAAAATCGCGCGCGTGTAGTGACTTTTCCGATTACATTGAGCGATTAAATCATGAACAATATTCAATTCTGTTATGTAAAGTATGTAATGGAGTACATGAATTTAAACGAGCATGATTGGTTAAGGTTTGGAGAAATACGTTTGCAAGTATTTTGTTATTCTCAGTGAGTATTTTGTTTATCATATCTTATTATTATGGTCAAAGGGCCCCCAAATTAATTTACCCCCGGCCCCCGAAAAACCTTGGGACGGCCTCGAAAGAACGAAACGACGGAATTCATGACTGTTTTTTCTATTTCCAATATTTTTAATCAACCAATTTGCTAATGCTTTTCTTGAAACACTTAATGTTATAAAAATATTCTTCTACATTTGCCTATTAGGTACAATTGTGTTTAACGAAAAAAATTATTCTCCGCTTTAATCAATACAAATCTATCTACTAATTTATTTAACAATGGATAATGATCGGCTGAGCGATTTGATTCTTATGGCTGTTAAAGGTTTTCTTGCCTTAAAAATAAATTTGGACGAAGCAACGGATTTATTTTCAAAAATGAAAAATAAGAACGTACCGTTTATTTACCGCAATATTTAACATGAAACGCGGTGGACAGGCATCTAAAAACTATTTTGTAAAAAACGTAGACATTGTATCTGCGCCTGAAACACCAGTTATAATGTGCGAACGAAGCGAGTTAATGGACTGTATTACACATAATATTAATAAATGGTTTTTATAGCAAAAGTTCGGTTTAGATGCGAATAGAAACGATGATGTGTTCCCGTCGTAATAATATTACGATGAGCGATGACGTTCGTCAAAAACACGAGTGCGAAGTATATATATTGAATTCATTATAAATCAATCGAGATTACCGAAAAATTATACATCAAATTCATGACAACGCGATTACGCATCGTTCAGTAGTCGGAACAGATCAATATGTAATATAATATTCGTGCGTACAAATCGACGATTGATGTTGCATGGCTAATGCCAAAAAGTAATATTGACTAACGTTTACGGAGAATGGAGCAGCACGTGCTAATATAAACATTGTACGACAGTTTCCAGATTATTTTCACAATTATTTCAAACGATTGCTAAAAATACGCAACATTACGGTTTATTTTCCTCCAGTTATTTCTTTATAATTATTTATAAAGAGTAAGACTCTAGAATGTACCATAAGTATATTCGTACTCGAAAATACCTAATACTCCTGATGTATGCGGTTTTCTTTTTTTGTCACGAGGTGCACGTCGACAGTCCAGTTCCGGCCCTAATAAGTGATCTCTTGAAACAGGCTGATCCGCGGTTAGAGAACTAACTTTCCTGCCTGCCCCGGGTCGACCTACGCACGACTACCGGCCGTCTGATGCGTGCGCATTCGGATTTCGACCTGACACCGTATGCGTGATGCGAACAATCGTACGACAAACCGTGCACCAGTTGTACGAACTTGTAGTAAGCGATACGCACGTTCACACGACTTATCGTACTAAAATTTCGTACAACGATATGTAGAGATGTAATGTATATTCGAATATCGAATTATTCGAAAATTCGAATACCAGAATGGCCGAACATTCAAATATTCGAATTATTCACGCTAGACCTATTCGAATATTAGAGTACTCGAATAATTCCCATCACTGGTCGTAAGTATCAAACGTCAATACCGATGTAATATTTAAACAGAACGATAAACAATCGGAGTATTAATTTTTTATGGCTCCCGTGTTAAAATTAAAAAACTGAAAGCTTGTAGTATTATGGTTGCATTGTTATTGAATGTTGATGAAAATAACATAAAATATAAAAAACAAAACGACGTCAAATCGATCAAACCTTTTGTTCTAGGGCCCACACGTGTTACGATTTGTCGTGGCACAAATTTAATATACACGTTCAAACTTCAAGTCGTCGTACTACACGTTACGATAATCGTTTGTGAAATCGTATCAAACAAAGTAGCACAATCAGTCGTACGATTGACTTTATCGCGGAGGCGCGCTTAAGTCGGTGTTGCGAGCATTAACGGAATTCCATCAACCTGTCCATGCCGGAGGCCAAAATACTGTTAAAACAATTGTTCCGTCTCGTTTTCGGAAACAAAACCGTGGTATAAATTTTAATCGCTAATGCTAATTTTTTTCGTTCTTCTTATCAGCAGTATTCATACCGAAAATAAACAGGATTATAGTAAGTTTCTGCTTCATGAAAAAAAAAAAAAAAAAATTAGCAGCTGCAAATGTTGTTACATACACCGAACAAAGATTCTTACCATTATATATTTAATACACTAAAAACGGCAAGTTATTATAAATTCAATATCATTTTCATTTCATGTACTATAGCATTACACTGAAAACCCGGGTCAACCTTGGTTTCGCCATTGATTCTGGGTATATTTAAATCTAAATCGACACCAAAATTGACACCACTTTAATAGTTATTGACTATTGCAATCGATAAAACGGCAATAAATTAAGTGTTTGAAGTATTTCCTCGAATAAATAACTAGTTAAGCGTGTGCATGACGGACAGCGATGGAAAAAACC